ATACCTGTGTCAGAATGGTGTCAAATAGCAGTTGTGTTCCTGACTCATCCTTGGTAATAGCAGTGTGTCCAGTGATTCCAAAGAGCTCTGGGAAAGGATTCTGTGCAAGTGTCTTTGCATATTCAGTACTGCTTCTGTACTGAGAAAAGGTGGGGAAAAATACCTCTAGACTGAAAAGAAGATGCAGAAGCAGCCAACCAGCCCACAAAAGGCCACAAGCTGTACTTCAAAACCCACTACAGGTTTTCCTAGAGTGATGAATAAAATGCATAAACTAAGATATAAAAGATACAATTTCTGAAAAATTCTGGGAGCTGACGAAAATTGTTAAAATGAGATACCAAGTGTAAAGGGCTGCAGCTCCTCTCCAAGCCCACTGCCTGCCAAGTGCCTGAAGATGTTTTGCTGATGACTGACACACAACTCCTGTGTGATAAATTAAGCTGATTATTGTGGCCTTTCTGCCTCCAGTAGGTATAATGAACTGTTTCTTTCATGCCTATTTTAAAATGCTTTTAACTTCACTAGGCTGTTTCTCACTTACTGTCCCCTGAGTGCTGACTCACAGAGTCAATTTAGATGACAGTAATTGGGTGGTGTTTACATAATGTCACTTTCTCAGAAGTCACTGAAACAAGGCCTGATAGAAGATGAGATTAAGCCACCAAAGCAAACAGTGACTGAGTAAACACAGACACAGTTTCTGTAAAGATGCATCTATTAAAAAAAAAAAAAAAAAGCTGTTGGCAATTCTGTTGTTCTGAGATACTTACATCTTCAGGAGAGGCAAAATAAACAGCACTTGGATCAAGTATATAATTGACATTTGTAATGATTTCCGAGGAAAATAACATCTTCAGAACACTTACAGAGCCAGTCCCAGTCATCAGTGCCTCTGGCACCATAATTGCATTCCCCAGTCACAGTGAGGAGCAGCAGCTGGCAGCTCCTGCAGGAAAACAGGACAGTGATCTGAGCAGCCCAGCACTTCCCTGGACAGCCCTATCAGTATCACTGAAATTCAGCTGGAAGGCAGCCAGAATTCTCACTGGAAAGTTTAAAAGCTGTTAATTACTTCTGCTAGTTCATGCTTGAACTATTTCATCTCCAGCCCTTCAAATACTTTTTAATAATCATCCTTCAAGTCACTCAGCCATTGCTGCTTTTGAAGAATAATAGCACCAAAAATTTCCACAGTAATGCAGGTAAAACTCCCTGGATACAAGTTTATGGAAAACTTTTCCAAAATTATCTCTACTTTTTTGGCGTCTTTCTAAAATAAATGTATGCCATCACAAGGCCAGAGCTGTGCTCATAATTTTTTTTATTTTATATTTTTAGAAAAAGCAAACATGCTTAAATTCTTGAGGTTGGGAGAAGCTGGACTCCTCTTAGGTGCATAAAAAAAGAAAATTATGAGTGATAACAGAAAATTATTTGCAGGAAAGCAAGAGCGGGTGATGGACTGAGAACTGGGATGAAGCAAATGAGTCAAAGTATCAAGAAATGTTTACTACATACAAATCCCTTTCTTTCAGGACCAAAAAAGGTTCCCTCGCTGCTAGGAACTGTATTTGTAATTTATTCAGAACCTTTGGTCATGTAATATTTAGTAATTTATAAAAGGCAAAATGGGAGTTTTAGGGCAGAGGTTTCTTGTTCACCTGCTTCCTCATGAGCTTAGGTGGTACTTTTGTAATTGGATAGAAAATTCCACACTGTGGGCCACAGGTAATTAGTTATTGGGTTAAAAGTAAAAATAATTTAGGTGTTTATTCTTAATTAAACATTTAGGCCTTAAAAGGCCTTGCAGAGAGAGAGAGATATCACCATTTTTAACTTGTTAGCTAGAAGTGCTAATAAGTAGAACTCACTGTAACATAGATAAGAATTAATGAAGATCTGAGTCCAAACACAAAATACCATCTCTCGAGCATTTAATCCAACTCTGGCAGAAGGAAAAAAGAAAATAAATGCAATAGATCCCAGCTGGTTTCACTCTGCAGCAGTCCAGGGGCTGCTCTTGTCCCTGGCACCGAATAAATCCCAGCCATCAGGGGTGGCAGTAGTGGATGTTTTACACCTTGCAGGAACAATTCCTTTTTCCTGTCCTGCCCAGCAGAACTGAGCCACTCAGAGCCCAGCTTCTTCCTGCTCTCACACTCTGTGAGCCAGGGGAAACTTTTCTAGACAAAGACCATCAGCAGGAGGTCTTTAAATGGTTATGAGCATCACTTCCAAAGAGTCTCTTTTTTAAAGCTATTTATTCGTGTACATCTAATTAATATGTATTATATACAACTGTATGTATGAAACCATGCACCTATACATTTTTTTACAGCACTGTATTATAAAATATTGTTCATACAATATTTTAGCTTTTTTTTTATCCTAACTAAGTTTAATTTCTGGTCTTTACACAAAGACATCCGATAGAAATGTTTGATTTGGTTCTCAATTGAGACCATTTATCTAAACATGCAACCTCATTTAGACAATCAATATTAATTATAGAAAAATAATGTAAAATGTGATTGCAAACACACATCCAATTATTTAAAAAGTGGATAGGTTTTCCCAGTCTTACCTTTTTAAAAAGAAAAATACACCTAGAGAGCTGTATTATTAATGTCATAGCAACAAGTTTCAATTGATGAAGTATGAGACAAGCAATAAAATAAAAGTTTTCTCCACTATTGACAGTAATTGAAACTACTTTCCTTGCAGTGGAAGACAATTATTTAATTTCTGAGGCTTTCTCCCCCAGATCATAGATACACATTCATCAGGGTTGGCTTTAACTGATTTACAAAGTTGCAAGATTACTCACAGGTTTTCTGCACATATTGGAAAAGTCAGGATCAGACAGTGGATATCAGGTATTTAATGCACTGCATAGTTTAAGATACAATTTAGATATTTTCTTTTATGTCATGCCATCTCTTATGTATCTTCCAGTGAAAAGCTCCAACTACCATCCATTTAATCTGGACCTAGGAAATTCTGAGAGTTTCAGAACACTTCTACAAACACTCTTGAAGGATGCAGACAAACTACTGTAAAATGCAGGATACCTCTGCAGCTGGTGGCTAGAAATGCACCTGCCATTCTCAACAGCACTCAATTCTGACAATTACAGGCAGGAAGTGCAAGAAATACATCTTCAAATGTGTTATTACACATATGTATAATCTTACTTTCTAGTATTCTAGGAGTACTTTTCCTAATAAGAATGTAGAAAATGGGCTGTTGGGAATTTTTTGTTTGTTTGTTTGTTTTAAATGCCGTAAAAACAGTCAAAGCAAAAAAAAAAACAAAAAAATTCATATTTCAATTCTGGTGTATAAATATCACCCAGGACTCCACGGTCCCATATTACTGGGGTGTTTATATATTAAATAATATATTACACATAATGCATGTTTGAAAAAAAATAGCATTTTCAGATAAGACTGCTTACAAGAAACATTTAAACTACTATGGCTTTGTTCCATTTTTGCATTTTGCATTTGAAATGACACAAGCTAATTAGTTAAATAGATCATGACATCACAAGATGACAAAATATGCCAAAATATTTCACCTACAGTTTCTTTTAAACAACAGACAAATTATTCATTCCTGAAAACAATCTGTTTGCCTGAATTAGTGTCTTGTGTTAAAGAGAAGCATGACATCAATTTTACCATGTTTTCGTGCAGTTAAAAACAGGTTTTGGGTTTATTTTGGCATTTCAACTTTTAGTTCAAGTTCCTTACTTCATGCAAATACACTCACATGTGCACACACCTACACACACAAACACCAACTACAGTAAAAATAAAAATAAAGATTAAAATACCTGATCATCAGCAAACTTAAGAAGGGCTGCCATGGAGTCAGCACCAGGAGAAACTATAAATATCAGTGCTTGGAGGGCCCAGGTTATGAATGATAAATTCCTGCACCATTGGTATTATCTGGAAAAAGAAAAAAAAAAAAAAAAGAAAGCAATTAAAGTGTCCTGTTTTCATGTAACACATGTTACTCTAAATATCTGAGTATAAATTCCAAGGACAGTATTCCTGCATACAAAAATAGATACCAGTGCAGTCCCAGAGGAATCAATGATGTAGCATTTGTAAATCTAGGCAAAAACCATGCCCGAAGAGCTGACATTAGAAGTCCTACACAAATGTTCTTTAATCTCATTTCTGTCACCACATCTGGACAGAATAATGTGCTGGATTATTTTCTGCACTTACTCCATCTGTATTTTGGAGAAGATTTAAATTTTCAAGTCTCACAATGCAGCATCTTTCAGGGGTGTTAAGATCTCTTAGAAAGCAGTCTTGAAGACACTGATGTTTAAACTTCTACTGAATTTAACTGGACTCTATACCAAAATAAGACACAGTTCATAAAATAACAGCTTAATGCTATAAACCCTTACAGACATATACCTTTAAAATATTATCATCCAGTATCTGGTCATGCTCTACAATATTTTAAAAGAGAACAGAATAATTATAATATCATTAAATAACCACCTCCTCTTTAAAGAAATGTAATAGCATTTGCAAAGACAATCCTAAGAATTAATCTCTGAACATAAAATTCAAGAAACAGTGAAGGCTTCAAATAGCAATGTTAATTCAACCCCTTTGGTTGCAATCAGGATAGCATTTTTTTCAAACTTGATATGCAAAGTTTCTGTATTTGTAACTATTTTAACTTGCAGATTTTGACGTTTCAAGTGTAAAATCTTCCACTGCCATAGGTGCATTCAGTTAAATATATGTAGTGTGACCAAGGACACATACTGTGACACAAGGGGAAGAAATTCCAATAGCTTCATTTCCCCTGGCTGTCCTGCCCATAAACTCACGTTGTTAGGAAGGGCCTAAGGCTGCTTTAGGCCTTCCCCTGCTGTCCAGGTGCAATGTGTAAGCAATTAGCAAAGGCCTTAAATGTGAGAGCAGGAGGGAGGCTCTACCTTGCACTGACTGCAGCCTTCACACATGGAGGCACTCCTGCAAGAGCTCAGCTCAGCTTCCAAGCTCTTAATTGACTTTAAGGAGATGTATGAATATGAGACCCGCTTAAAGACCTTCACCAAGTGGCCCTTCCAGGAGAACTGCAAGTGCACTCCAGAGAATGTAAGTCTAAAATGGTTATTTTGCCTCTGCCTTAATTTATATATGCTGTGCCTGAAGGTGAAGTGATTGTTAAGTATATTCAGGTTCAAGAGGGGTCCACTAAGCCTGAAGATAAAAAGTTAAATTCTCAACTTTCTTCTGTTCCCTCCTCAGAAATACTGTAGTGGGATTGACTGTTTTTTCTGTGTTCAGTTCACCAGTCTGTCTACAGATTTTAATAATTATTGTTCTTGTTCCCTTTTTTTTTTTTGTTCCTGTCATTTAAAAAATCATTTCTTGTAATATACAGTCTTTCTAATTGCAAATTCTATTCATGATAAAGCAGCCTACATTAAACAAGTATAGATCCAGCAGGAAGGATGAAGTAGTGATCACTACTTCAAACTCAGAAATAGAAATTATTTAAATAAAAAAATCCACCTGACTTTTACATTGGCACACACATGATATTGCTAGCCTGAATCTCAGGTGAGTCATACTGCAAGAGTTACCTGAGAAGGTGTTTGGTTACTGAAACAAACTTAATTTTTGGTGTCCTGACTAGATGTGATTCTAAAGTGGCAGGAAACGAGTAGCGTGTGGGACAAGTCTCTAATCTTCTAAACTGTCCCCTGCAGATGGCAAAGGCTGGCTTCATCCACTGTCCAAATGCAAATGAACCAGATGTGGCAAAATGTTTCTTTTGCTTGTTAGAACTGGTGGGCTGGGAACCAAACGATGACCCATGGTAAGCACAGATATAACAATGCTCTTAAGCATCTCTCCAAATTTGAGTAATTTTAAAATGAGTTAATGTTCCTGTCAGTTTCCACCATGACAGTTCACAAAACTGCAAGTTTACCTTGCCCAGTAACTGAAATTGTTCAACTAGCTTTCATCTGAGATCCACTAAAATCTATTTCATCTTTTCTGTATCATGCTGTTTCTGCTGATAGACAGTATGAGTACTGAAGAGACCTGCCTGTACACATCTCTTCATCTCCTGAAATGAAACTTCCATGGGTTTAGCATCTGTTCTTATTCTGGGTTTATCTTGCAGGGAGGAGCACACCAAACGTCACACCTGTGAATTTTTATCCCTTCCCAAGCACTTTGATGAGCTGACAATGGAGGAGTACTACATGCTGGAGATGACACGGCTGAGGACCTTCATTGTAAGTGTTAACCTTGTAATCTGAAGTTCAAAGCTAGACTATAAACAAGAACTTCTCTTGCTAAGATTTCCACATATCAGCCAGGAATGATTGTCTAAGGCTAGAACATGATTTATTCTGAAGTAATAATTTATATGCATTATTGGCTAAGAAGTCTGCACCTAAGCACTTCTCAGTATAGTTTGGCTTTTGAATGCAAACCTGTTTCCTTCAGAAGTGTTTTTCCAGAAACTCATTACAACAGAAAAAAAAAATATAGGGTGCAATAATCAATGCAGAAAACTCAACAATGAGCAGCTCTATTATTCTCAGGAGGGATGAACAACCTACATGAAAAGACAAAATTTGACCAGATCATTGCTTCACATGTCCAATTTTACATATAAATCTGCCTAATTAAACTTTAAAGCCCATTTCAAATATTATACTTCTCTCACTTCTGAAGTTTCATGCCATAGTGTTGACATGTAAAAAAGCACACAACTGAGTTGTTCAGTTGATCAAGATCAGCTGATATATGAGCCCTAATTCTATGCATCATAAGAACCAAGTGAACCAAGTTCTCTGATGAGGCACAGTAAAAGATTCTGCATATAACTCATTGGTGGGTTTGCACAAATAAGATCTTTGCCTTAGCTAATAATGTTCAGTATTAAATATATACCTGGTGACTGGCAAGGTTAAGCAGATTAAAGTACAATAAATAGGATCATGTGGCACAGTGATATCTTAGAGGGTGGACTAAGAGTGAGAAGGTGGTGTTACCTAACTTGAACTGTGAATGATTTAGAGCAATTTTTCAAGGTCTAAAAGGCGTATTGGCCATAATATGACATTATTTCTAAGTACAGTATATAAAAAATTTGAAGCAGCAGCAGCTTCAGGTGGGGACACTTATCCCCAGGGATACTGTCAGTGATAGCTGGGAAGGTGTGCACTATGCTGACCAGGGTACCATTGCTATCCTGAAGCACTGATACTTGACTTCAGCCTGAGGAGGGGGGGTTGGAATTTGGCTGAATGACAGAGCTGAAAGGTTCAATCTCTTGCTTTGATTCAAGTGCAAAGTTGGCAGGCGCACAATCAACTCTTTTCAAGAAGAAGTCGAGGCAACAAGGCAGAGGCTCGTGGATTACTTTGGCTCCAGACCCCAGCTCCCGGCACCGCTGCCTCTAGGGGATGAGCCAGGAGACTCAACTGCCGGGCCAAAGGAGCCCACGACAAGTGAGCTGTGAAGCCTGACTCTAAAAGTGTCTCTTAATTTGGTGCAAACATTCCTCTCTTTATGTGAATCTAAAGTGAATCTAGAGCTGAACAGGTGTGTGAGGAAGTGTACATAGGGAACTGCTCTCAGCCTCTCTGGATCAGAGGAGTGAGTGCACACTGGTATGGCCTTTCACTGTCTGCTTTCTTGGGATGGCTGGGTGGGCAAGAGCAGTCCCACTACCCTGCCAGTCTATGAAAAATGTCTAAGCAAATACTGTTATTCTGTTTTTTAGTAAGCTGACTTTTTTTTGGAATAAAGATTCACAACTGTGAGTATTTTCTGTGATCTGTGTTAGAACTTTATACCTAGGCAGGCTCAAATCAGAACAGTTCTGCTTCAAAGCACTCTCCAGCAAAGGAAATGGATCTGCGAGTCTGCAGCAATTGCTTTAAGCACCTGCATTATCTGCACTCCTGCTTATCACTAAGTTGTCTTTAAAGATTGGACAGAATTGACACAGCAAATGACATCCAGCAAAAACAGCAGGTGTACTGAACAAGGGTAGACACAAGGTGTGTAAGACAGTCTCATGGAAGAGCTCTGGGGATTTTGTGTGTAACTGAAACAACAAAAGCTAAAGCCCTATTTGTAATGAAAACTTATAATTTCAAACTCACTGAAGTTCTTTAAAAATATTAATTCCTCTTTTCCTTTATGAGAGACTGTTGTAGAATAAAAATACAAGCTTGCAAATACTTTTGGTTTTTAAGATGCAGACAGACCTTTCTCAGTAAAGCAGGAGTTTTGTACAATGCTTTCTCAGGTCTCAGGCAGAGAGTCAACAGCAGCTTTTGGAACTCCCCTGACTTGTCTTTCCACTCTGCAAGAAAATCCTGGGGATCCTAAAAACATGTATTTCAACATTTTTCAAAGCATTTATGAATTCCCTATCTTGAGAGTAAATTATCCCTTAATTTGACACATCAATCCATGCAGTATTCTTTCTTAAGTTACAGAAATGAGGTTGACATGATTAAAGCTTTTTTTAAAAAAAATTTAAATATATGTTATTCTAAGAAGCTTCTTGCATAGCACAGGATTACTATCTTTGAAAGAGTTAGAGTGATTTTTTTTAAGTTCAAGTTCTTCTCTAGAAAGTGAAGAAATTATTCTCCTTCTTTGTTAGAATTATATTCTAGTGCCAGTCTTTAATGTTACACTGATAACATGTCATCAATGACAATCACACTGCAGTGTTATTAGGTAACTATGAGTTAGGCTGCAGCTGAAAATGATGGCAGAAAAACAAGAATGAGAAAATGAAAGTCAAGCCAAGCACCAGAGAGCTTTGTAAATGGCTGGTGACCAACCCAGCTGTTGTTACTGCAGCTTCCAGAGCGAGGGCAACATTTGGTTTGTGGAGTGTTAACTTTCTATTAGCCTGACAACAGAGTATTCTCATTTAAGTGGGAGTATTAGAGCTACATGGGTGATAAAAAATGCTTTCACCTGACAAGTAAAAGGTACAGCAACTGTCTGCATCAGGACAGTGACAGATAATGCCATTCCTTCTGATCTGCCATGCCAGGGTCAGGAATGCTCTCAGCTTTGGTGTTACTGCTTGAGAGTCTTTAGCAGTTAAGAGATGACAGTGAGTCTATTGATCCCATTTTATGGAGCACAGCTTACACGAAGGGCCTTCTCTTTAACTCCAGTTTGGCTGTGTGAATGCACACAAAGCTGCCCCACATCTCTTGGATCCTTACTGCTGAGTGTCAGCACCTTTCACTTATTTCACCTAGAAACTAAAAAAAGCTATAATCTCAGTATGCATAATGAAGTAGTTCCCTCCCTCAGTCTTTTTTTCCAAAGTCATAATTTTCCAGGTGACTATTTCCTAAAGAACTAAAGTCCTCAAATTGCTATATCTTTTTCTTTTTAATCGCCCAAAGAAAGCCTAATTTTCATTATTTACCCATTTCTTGCAATCTGGTCAAGTGAAGAAGCTAGAACTGTTTGGTTCCTTTAATGTCTCTCATTGTACTCTTTTTATGAGCATTTCCAATCAAAAATCCATTCTTTTTCTCTCAGCATACTTCAGGCTATTTCTTTAATTAAAAAGGATTTTTAAAGCCTTGATATTTATAATGAATAAAATACAAAATTACTCTTTTTATTTAAAGAGTCTAAGAAGTCCTGGGTCATTTGACTCAATGTTGGTGATAGATTTTCATCATTTAAATTAACAGTAAGAAAACTGAACTGGCAAAAGTTTTACATGAACATGAAAGTGGTTATGGTCAGATATAGGGAGTAAGATAGAAGGATAGTTTTTTATTTGTCTGAATACCTTGAACACCTCAGCCAAAATAAGGTGAAGTCCATTCAGATGGTTTGAAATGCAGTGTAAGAATTTGCACAAACTACTTCAAATTCTTTTTTCAAGGTAGAAGCAAAGATGTGGAAAAGCTCTATAGCTTTTTCCCAATTGTGCAGGTCACCAGAGAGCTACTCAGAGGATCATTCCTGTATTTTAGGCACGGTGATCATTCTGACACCTAATTGTGATCTGTTGTCATTAATAGATGTTCTTGTTTTGACAGAAGAACAGGAATGAGAGCAAACTATGTTGTTTGATCTGTGTCTCCTTTTCAGTCTTGTGTTTCAATCTATTTCTGTTTTCTTCTATTCAGTTAACAAGAAATGGATAATTTTTAATATTATTGCTCTAATAATTACTGATTACTAATAATTACTGATTTGTAATAACAACATAGTTTGCATGAGAAAAGAATGGTTAAAAAATATCAGCACAGAGCCTGTTGTAAAGAGTCTGACTAGTGAAGGTAGCCCAAGCCAAACAGGGCTTTGTGAATTATTAACTCCCAGAGAATTTTCTGTGGGGCTGCTTACCTTCAAAAGGAGCTTACACCAAACACTCCCTGGGGATGACTGGTGTACTTGACACTGGCAGCTGGGATTCAGGTTCTGTATCTTCTTATTTCTTTCTGTATCTTTCTTATTTCTCTGCTGACAGAAAGGTTTGGAATCAGTGGGAGGTAATTTTATTTATCACGTACTCTAATTTAGGGACACAGGGGATTTTTTGAGATGTAAAATAGTAAGATTTAAAGTCAAAGGGTTAGATTTATAGAACACAGACTGCCTTGATGGTAAAGGTTACCTCAAAGGTGCATTCAAATATGATCCCAAAATATTAAGCTCTGATTAAAATGATTACTAGCAATATCTTTAACAGTTCTGCTAAGCTTAGACTGCCTAGAC